CCCCCCACCGGCGGGCCTCCCTGCGTGGGGGGGGGGATTTCTTCTTTTGGCGTCTCCGTGCAAGAAGGCAGGGATCCAAGGCGAAGACAGAGGGTGCGGGGGGCTGTTCACCCGAGGCGGGGGGAGGGAGACTTGGAGGGGGGCTCTTGCAAGATGAGTACAAAAAAGAAATTAGACGCGCAGGTTTTGTGGGCATCAGCCGGCGGGAGTTGGAGGATGGGGGCAAAGAAAGGGAGAGGCCGCCCCCTGGCACAATTCCACATTTCCCCCCCCCATTCCACCAGGACTCTTAGGTTGCAAGCTGGACGCCCCTTCCCGCCCCCGTCGTTGCTGCCTTAATGTTGTAGAGGGGTTGATTTTTAAAGGAAATTTCAAAGCTGCTTGGAATCTTTTAATTATTATTATTTTTTGCAAAAAGAGATGTGGGGACTTGCAGAGATTTATTGGGGAGCGTTTACTTGCTTTTGGGGGAGGGGAAGGTTTTCCTGTCTCATGAGGTTTTTGGGTTTGGGTCTACTGTAAAAAGAAAAAAAATCCCCCCCTCCTTTTTTGTTTTGGTTTTTTTCCCATCTACCTCGGTTGTTCCGCAGTATTTGCTTTGTTTTGGTCAAGGAACTGGTCAGGTGCTTTAAGACGTGTTCCTGCACAAACACATACACATTGTTTTTTATCTTGACCCCCCCCTCCCACCCCCCATGCCCTGCCTCCCTAATCTTAGTGTTGACTACTTGACACACCCTCTTATGAACAAGATGACAATTGTTCAACTTTCCCCCCCAGGGGTTGGGTGGGACACCTTCCAACACTTTCACAGTGTCTATCAGTAATTCTTGAATTTTGTCTGGTGTCTGGACTGGAAATCTCCAAGTTTCTTTGTCGTGAGAGGAGTGATTCTCCCCCCAGTTGTACTTAATTATTACTATCTTGTCAGATCGCCTTAAGATTTCAAGAAAAGGCATTTGGTGTTGTTTTTTAGTGGTGAATTTTGGCAAGGCCCTTTCAAAAGTGAAAAGTGGAGGGAGTGTGGGGTGTGAAGACTTGGAAAATCGGCTGAAAGAACACAAATGCCTCCTGCTGTCCAGAAGGAGAACTTCAAGGGGGGGGGGAACTACTGAAAGATCCAGAATTTAACTTTTTAAAGCACAGTCCAACTTCCAGTCCATTCTACAGAGTGAAAGGGGAAGAAGAAAAAGAGGAAAGTGACTTGCCTGTGTAATTTCGATGCTGCTTTGAATCTGGTGTGGCGCACGCACACAGACAACCCCATAAATGCAGAGGCCTTCTTGCAGTGGCTCTCCCACTGGAATTTGTTTCTGGCGTTGTTGTCTCCCTCCCTCCATCTTTTTTGTATGCACTAAAGATATATTTTTTTACCACTGCCATATCTACTGCATTCCCCTCTCCTCTGCCACTTGCCCCACCTTAAATAGCCATTAAACCTTTGAAAAGAGCGTGGCCCTCTGTGTTTGGGTTGTGTGTTTTTTAACTATTTATCTTGTATGTGTGTGCGCGAATGTGTAAATATATATTTGTGAACCTGGTGGTTTTTTGTTTGAAAGGATTTTTGAGTGGAAATACAGTTGGGGGGATGTGAATTATGCATTTTTAAACTAAAATTGTAATTTCTACAGTAAAAATATTTCCCGTTGCACTGATCTTTTTTCCTGCTGTTTCACTTGTAACACCCCTCTGTCATATCTGAGATTCTGCTTGTCTTTCAATTGTTTCCTTGTTTTCGTTTAATACTGTAAACTTCACAAGGTTTTGTGAGCGCCTTTGCAAGACTTCTTTTGTGGACTTGGTAGTGTGGTCTTGACCACTTGCGGAGAGTGTGCCTGGTTTTTAGCATCTTAGGCAGGGGAGGAAATAATCTTTTTTCTGGTTTCTTTTGATAGTTGCACATAATTTCTTTTTACTATTAAATGGATTTGCCACAAATGTCATAACATTTATGACATGATATTTTTTAAAAAAGTAGTTCTTAGAAATCCAAGATCTGAGGATAGGTCCTTTGGAAAAGATCTTGGTTCAAAACCCAGTTTTCTAAATGAAACTCTCCCAGGAGTGTTTTGTAAAGATGTTAACACATATTTATATTTTTGTAAAGAAAAAAATATGAAGACTGTGAAACCTTTGGGGGTGAAATGAAATATGGATTGTTTTTGTTTTACCTTGACAAAGGGGTCCCCTCCTCCCTGGCTGTTTGGAAAAAAATTTGAGCCCCACAATGAGAATTGGGGGGAATCTACAGCTGGGAACAGGAGGGGAGGCTTGCTCTGGAGCTGGGCAAGTCTGAATCTGCGGGGGTTTTGTTTGTTTTTGGTTTATTTTGCCTTAATTGGTCCCCACACCTTCCCAAACTGCTGCATGAATTAATATGATCTTAAGTATATTTACTTGTCTGTAAAGGCTACTGAATTCAGTGGCACTACTCACTAGTAAGTGCACTTAGGATTGCGGCCCTTAGGCCATAGGGATTACATTTTTCTATGCAACCCCAGAAGACCTCCATAGGTGAATGGATGTTCATTTGTCCCGTTCTCTCCCACCTCCCCAAACCTGAGAAAAGGAATTAATTGTTTGGCTTGGAGTGCTGCTGTGACCATTCATGCCAAAATGAAGTGCCTCTTTGAGTGACATAGGAGGTATCTCTCTTTTTTCTTCTTTGCATGACAGGTCTGTGTTCAGCAGTTTCTTAAAAAGAATATTTTTCTCCAAGAATATATTTGATGTCGTTGAAATAAGCAGACATTGGAAGTTGGTTTATGGATTGCTCCAGCGGAGTCTCTCTGTAGGTGTTTCCCCCCATCCCTCCTTCTAGATGGCAAATACCTTTTTTAATTATGTTAATTAATTTGTTAAGAATGTTAGGCTTATATTGAAGCTGTATGTGGGTCACTGTATGATCACTTTTTAACTGGATAAAGTCTGTACAGATGGCATTTTCCCTGAGTATATGATAGTATTGCGTAGCCCCAAGGTGAGAGATTTATAAATAAATTTTTTCATTGATCTTTTTATATTAAAAGTTGCCTTGTGTTTCTTCCTTTTTTGTTTTCCAGAGTCTGCAATCGTGCACCCCCTTTGGTGGGAAATAAAGCACGTCTAGCACACTGGGACTTATTCTGAAAAGACCTGCCTGGGATTGCCCTGCAGACTTGGGCTTCCTTCCTTGCATGTCTAATTGGAAGTCTGCCCCAGGGTGTTTTTGTGGCGTATTCCCAAGTAGGTGCATCTAGGATTGCAGGGATCTCTATTTTACCAGGGGTTTGGTGTATGAGTAGGGTGCTGCTCAAGGGAGGAAACATTTAGTTTTGTTTTTAAAACTAAAAAGCCCAAAAAGGGAACCTGATAGCTGTTTATACAGTTAAGAATGGCGGAGATAGGCGATCCCCCTCAGAATCAGAGAGCAGAAGCTGCACACCAGAGATTGTTCAAAGGAGGGGGAAATACAACTTCATAGGGCGTGGAAATAACATGGTGTAACTCACTGCTACAAGCACTTAGTTAACACAGTTTTTTTGTTTTGTTTTTTAAAAACCAATTTGGCTAATTTCTACTGGTAGTTCTGGTCCATAATAGTTAAATGGAACCTCTGCGAACTACCCTTGCCAAAGTGTCTTGAACAGGAATCTTAATCAGATCAAGCAAGGCAATGTATGTTGCCATGTATGTCTCTCCAGCTCATTTAAGTGAAACAGTTTAGACCACTGTGTAATGGTGACAGTGACCTTGGGGAACAGTTGCCTAGAGGACAGCCTTGAAACGATCCTGCAGGTGTTTGTGTGGGGGGGTCACTTCTGGCTCATGGGGCCCCCATGAATTAACATTCTCCAAAACATTCTGTCATTAACAGCCTTGCTCAAGTCCTGCAAACTAGGAGTCCTTGTGGCTTCCTTTATTGAGTCGATCCATTTCCTATTGGGCCTTCCTCTTTTCCTGCTGCCTTCAACTTTCCCTAGTGTTACTGTCTTTTCCACTGACTCTTGTCTCTTCATAATATGACCAAGGTACAATAGCCGCAGTTTAGTCATTTCAGCTTCTAGGGAGAGTTCAGGCTTGATCTGGTCTGAACTCAACTTGTCTTTTTGGTAGCCCACAGCATCTGTAAAGCTCTCCTCCAACACCACATTTCAAATGAATCAACGTTCTTCCTGTCAGCTTTTTTCACTGTCCAGCTTTCACTACCATACATAGTCACGGGGAAGACCATGGCGTGAATGAACTTGAGCGATGCATCCCTACACTTAAGAGTCTTTTCTCGCTTCTTCATGGCTTCCCTTCCCAGTCTCAGTCTTCTGATTTCTTGGTTGCAGTCTCCTTTTTGGTTGACGATGGAGCCAAGGGACAGAAAATCCTGGACAATATTGGGAGATCGTGCTGCCTCTGGGAGGTTCTATTTTGTCATAGGTGGAAAATGTATGGATTGGGGGTGGGAAAACTCAGCCTATTTCTGCCTACTGTTCAGCTACTAAAAGCCATGACAAGAGCCATGACCAGAAAGAGTGCTTGTGGCCTTTATGACCTTCTGAAACATTGTTCATTTTGCTTTTTTGTTAAGCAAAATGTGAGGCAAGGAACCGCAGATGAGACACGCAAACCTGAATCTTACAACAGTGGTGATTCAGCCTAGCCCCCAACTGAATGCTGCCATGCGTAGAGTAGCCAATTGTAAGCAAATCGGGAAGGACACCATAGAGATGTGGCCGTGGTGGTGGAGCAGAGTGGCTCTTTTCATCCATTCTGTGCCTCTGCTCTGACAATGGCGGCTTTAAATTGGCATCTGGAAGTTGGGGCTTCTTACTCTCTCTGATGTGCACAAAACCAGATATTCTGGGGCTTCCTCAGTGGCATCCCTTGCCTAGAGGACTTGCTGGGCATCTTGTTCCTTCTGCATTCAAAAACCTTACTGGGTGCTGGGTTCAGAACTACTGGCTCCTCCCATCTT